GTCACTTAATCTTAACACTATGTATACCTGTGAAGCTCATTAAGATACTTTAATAGTAAGTCGTGTTTCTTTAAGTGATTTTTTAAAAAGCATTTGGTCACTCAATCCACGACTGTTTGTGGGACACTGCTGTGTACAATTCGCTGCTGCATTTCGCCCACAAAATATACAGTCAATCCATTTTGCAGTATATTTTCTGTGAAGCTCTTTGAGACATCTCAAAGCTGTGATAAGGTACTGAATCAAATGAAAGGATTATTATGATCATCAAAGTTCTTTCACATCCTTTGACATTTCAGCGCTTTGGGACACCCTCCCAATGTGAAAGGCACAATAGAAATGCAATTTGTTGTTGTTGTTTAGGAGCTTATATTAAGAGACAGGAGAGTCTTCTCTTTGCAAATAGTGTCATAGCTCATGAACAAAAGAGGGACAGTTCAATGTCTCATCCGAGCTCCAGCCATGCAATACATTCAGTGAGTAAACTTGGATTATGAGCTCAAAGCCCCGACATGGGGCTTAAACCCACATCCTTCTGGCTCAGAGGCAAGAGCACCTCAGTACCAACTGAGTCAGGCTGACACCTCAAACATCCCTCTTATTAAAACAAAATAATGCAGTTGGACTGATATATTTAGACAGTTTAAAAACGACCAGGACTAAGCCATAACCTATGTAACAAAACAAACTCTATGTGTGCATGGAATTGGACAAATAGTTTTCATCTTCAAGAGCACTGATTTGATTCCAATACAATTTAAACAAGGTGCCAGTTATGTTTAATGTTTAAAGTGGATTTTAATACCAAAACGCTTAAGAGAGCAATTCTTCCCTCTCTGTCAAAAAGTTTAAAATATTTGAAGCAATCGCAGTCAGATATGAGAGGAAGGGTTTACGACAGATATTATCCATCGTCATTATGTAAAGTAATGATACTGTCAGCTTTCAAAATGCAACACTTTAAAACAATGAGAATATTTTCATGGCTGCTCTCATTGATATTTGAATTAAATCCCACAGACAGGAGAAAGAAAAACACTCCCTGTTCAAACAGGCTGTATTTAAGGGATTTTTTTTTCTGCATTGCGATAAGAAGCTGTCATAAATGACTAAACATAAATAATCCCTGCATTTGCTGCAGTAACTTGAGATGTCTCAAGGCGCTTTGCAGAATTTACTGTAGATTGCAGTGACTGTACTTGTAGGCAAACGCAGCAGCCATTTTGTGCACAGAAACATCCCACAAACAACAATGAAGTGAACGACCAATTTTACCTGGGTGTAATTTTTGCTAATTTTTTCTCTGCTGTGCGCAATTGGCTGCCGCATTTTGCCCAAAAAATATACAGTCAATTCACTTTACACTATATTCTGTGAAGCGCTTTAAGATGTCTCAATGACACGATAAGGCACTGTATCAAATGCAAGGATTGCTATTATTATTGGTTGGTGTGTTGCAGCAAGGTTTTGAAAAATGCCCCCTAAATCCAATGACCATTGATAAAATCATTGAAATAAACTTGTCAACTCTTTTCCTGGAGGAGATTTAACATATATATGTTAACAGTCCAGTATCATGGGATTATGAATAAAGAAAATGAATTAAATATTTGATGAAAATCATTTAATTCGGCAAAGGTTTTTTTTCAGAATAATTGTGCATTTATTTCACGGATGAAAACATATCAAAAAGTTTGGTTTGCTGTGTATTTTGATCAGTGTTATACTAAAAAAGTAACTAAAATACACAGTCACTGGACTTTACAGTACTGTATATCCTGTGAATGGAGTGTTCAAATGTTTGCACATGATAAGCGTCTAAATTGTTACAATTGCAACTCACATCTGCTTTAATTCTGCCTGTAACAATTCTGCAACGTATCATTTTAATTAGAATTACTGAATGGCTTAAAGAAATGTATGAAAAAAATTAACAGTCCTTTCTGAGTTTCTCTGTTGCTTAAAATAATAATAGTAATGATGATAATCCTTGCATTTGATACAGCGCCTTGTCACGTCGTTCAGACGTCTCAAAGCGCTTCACAGAATATATCGTCAATTGAATTGACTGTATATTTTGTGGGTGAAATGCGATGACCTAAATTAGATGCTTTAATATTTTGGGAGCAATGGATGAATCGCCCATGATAAGTCCCACTGTTTGTAATGAGCTTGAGCATTTGGAATACTGTTCTCTACTGTACCAAACAAAACAGAGATTATCAACTGAGCTGCAAAGCATCACATCAACACCAGGTGGCGCAATTGGACATCGAATAAACGTTTGCTCTCTTCAAGTTTAATCCTTGCATTCGCTATAATGCCTTATCACGTCTTCGAGACGTTTCAAAGCACTTCACAGAATATGCTGTGAAGTGGAGTGACTGTGTATTTTTGCAGAAGTTTGAAAGCGACTCTATTTTGCAACAGATTTATTTACCAATTTCCATTTGCAAATGGAACAAATAGCAAAGTTTGCAAAATAGACTTTAAAATCTGAAATGTACTGCGTTATTAAACACTGCCCCTCCTCCCCCTCTCCCCCCCATCACCACCACCACACACAAACGCGCACACTCAATCACTCAAATTTATCTTCAATCAAAAAAGAGCAGATAAAAACTAGAAAATACAAATAAAATTGCAGGAGAGCAGCAGCGATCTGCCATGGTACATAATGTACAATTGCAGTTACACTTGCCTCAACATTTTGAATGTAATGTGATAAACTGATAGGAATTTGAATGGGAACTACAAAGGCTCACTGCAAATTGTCAGCTGGATAGAGTGTTATTGGTACATACAGTGAACTCCTCCTGTTAGCTCATCACTTCACAGGAAAGCTGCCTGGACGAGTTAGGCATTGGAACAGGAGTAAACCATTCAGCCCCTTGAGTCTGTTCCACTATTCTATTAGATTATGGCTAATCTGCACCTGAATTCCAATTATCCGTCTTTGCCCCATATCCCTGCAGAGTGATGAGCTAAGCCAATGTAAAAATACATAAATAAATGCGGCCAGGATATTCACAAAATGATGACTTAAGTGGTGGGGACAAGTTAAGCCAGGGTCGAGTTATCAGGAGTTTACTGTACATTATATATTGCAAACAAGGAATCTAGTTCAAACTTTTCTTTAAAAACCTCCATGCTAACAATAAATCGGTCAGACTGATATTTAAGTTTCGAAAGTTGGAGAATCATTTATCTTTCCACAACCTTGGGACATCCTCCTGAAGTGAAAGACACCAAACAAATGTAACTTGTTGTTATTGCTGTTGGCTTTAACATCAAAACTTGTCTGACCAGCTATAAGGGTGGACATATTTCAGTCAGCCTGATTCAGGGACGAGATTTTTTTCAAGCATATTTTTTTAAATATCACTTTTTTTCTTCAGATTTTCACTTAAATTAAAATATTCACATCCTTTCAGGAGGAATAATTGACATGAAGTGAATTTTAAATTTACCCATCCTGGTGACAAAAAAAATCAATTCTGTCCAGAGCCTTGTCTTACCATAGTGAGGGAGTGAGTGAGGGGAGTGAGTTAGTGAGGTAGGTAAGTAAGGAGGGAGATAGTTAAGTAGGTAAGTAAGTAGGTAGGTAGGTAGGTAAGTAGTTAGGTAGATAGATAGTTAGGTAAGTAAATCGGTAGGTAGTTAGGTAGGTACGTATGTAGGCAGGTAGTTTGGTAGATCGTGTGAGTTAAAAAATGAGTGAGTTTCCTTGTGCAACGAGTCACTCAGCGGGGTTTGAGGTTTCACTCTGGGGTAAATATTATGAAACAATGTGGAAACATGAAGTTAGCTGTGAGTCATGAGCAAAGCAAACCTCTGGTCTGTTTAGGCCCATAGAGAGAGGAATGATGTTTCGCAAAAAAAAGGTGGAGACAGTATTGTGTTGTTTTACGGCGCCTGAAAGAGCCACGAAGAGAGAGGGAGAGAGCGAGAGAGGGAACCTGTCGGACAGGTTAGGACACACCAAACACCCTGCAACCAAAACAATCTGACACTTTGATGTAGATTCTTCCCCCCTTCCCCCCAAAAAAAATATTTTTAGCAAAATATTGCTGCACCTTGGCTCTATTGCGTTTCGCAAAGGGAACACCTTTATTCCAATGTACGTCTATCTTTAAGGTAGTTGCGTTTTAATCAAGACAGGTTACAAATAGTGATTCTTTTTATCATTGCATAGAAATATATATACATATGTATTATGTATATTTTCTCCCCCTCTCTGTGTATTTTGTCACACAACCGATATTTGACACTTGGGTGTGATTTCCCACATCGCCTTTTCATTTCATCTCCCCTCAAAATCTTTTAGTGTTTTTTTGTTGACCCTCCAGTTTCTTGTATGAATGGTTACCTTAAAACAAAATGACAGCAGTTTAATTCAGGCCTGAATTGTCCGAACTAAAAAAAATAAAAAGCTTCAATTCCACACAAACTCCTATAAATATGATTAATATCATCATATTAACCCTCCTTCCCAAACAAGTGACATAAAGGTGGGTGGGGTGAAAAAAAAAGATTATCGGATGCTCCATTTACAACCAGAAATCTAACTAGCCATCCTCTGGATGTTCTGTGCTTTGTCTTCAAAGTTAAACGCAAGTTGAGTATCGTTTTTTTTAAATTCAACATTAGATTTAAAGGCAGAAGATCAGACAGACAAGACAGACACAGACAGACTAACTGCAAGTCAGAGCTTGCTGACAACTCTTCTTAAACCCTGCAAAGCCTTTTTTGTTAAAAAAAATGCGAGCACGTTAAAAAAACAAGACACTTGTAATACTTGAGGGAGGGAGGAAGTGAGTGAGTGAGGGGAGAGGGAGAGAATGGTAAATACACTTGGCTCCACAAATATGAGCGTGGGAAGACTAAAAGAAACTTAAGACTAGTTTTCGAGGCGGCAAGGCTGGAACCAATAAGCTTTCTGTATCCACCCTTCGGCTCCGTATAATTAGAGGGTTTAACCACGGCAAGGCTTTCTAGGTTACATCAGTTTGTTCTGAATTACTGTGAGCTGAACAGATCTCTCTCTCTCTCTCTCTCTCTTCTGCACACTGATGTCTATATAATCCCGAGCTCCTTTTTTTCTCCTTTCACCCCATTTAAAGCAGATCACATCGCCTTGCCTTTGGGTTGTTCTTGTTGTTGTTCTTCTTGTTGTATTTCTTTCCCCGTCTTGGAACAAAAAAAAATGAGTGGGACCTTTGAGAAAAAGCTGCCCAGCCTCCTGACTGATATCCAAGGTGCTCTAGGTTGCCACCCAGCCAAGGATTCGCCAACTCTGCCGGAGTCCACAGCCACAGACGCCAACTATTACAATCCCCAGTTCTGCCATCCTCAACATGATTACTACCAGACTCCAGCCTATTCCCAGCCAATCAGCCACTACCCTTACCACCACCACCAGTTCAACCTCAACAGTCTTTCGGGACCCAACTCTTACTCGCAAAAACCCGACTACTCTTACACCACTAATTCCTACCGTCAGTATGGACATTTCAACAGAGAACATCTAAACGCACCGATGGACAGAGGTAAGACTTGTGTCGCCTTAATGGATGGATGGATGTTTTTTTCCCCCCAGCGATCGTGTTTGGGAGACCTGGTGATGTGATATGATGTCGCTTTTTCTTTCGCTGGAGAGATCTTGAAAATGGTTTGTCTGCCTCTCCCCACACCCCCACCATTAGAGCGTATCACTGTGCAGTCACTTCACACCCAGGGTCCAGTCACCGTGTGTCAAGTTGTCGAGCGCCTCTTAAGAGCGATAATTGGCACTATTCTATCTAAGTCGTTCGAACCCACCACCCCCACCTCATCTCATTTACTTAATCTGTAAATCGTTGCAGAAGCCAGACAATATACAGGTGCATTGATAATCAGTTAAACTTTGGACGCAAAGTTAATATCACTAACCAAGAAAGGAAAGTTAAATAGAATAATAATAATAATCCTTGCATTTGATATCACATCATTGAGATGTCTCAATGCGCTTCCAAGAATATACTGTACAGTAGAATTACTGTATATAAAGGGTTAAATATTGTATGGATGAAATTCATATACATATTATACATATTATATGGATTATATTATACATATTATATAGACACAGCCTCTGTGTCTATAAATATTAACCAATGGAGATACTGTGTATGGATATGTGGGGAAAGATTAATCAAGGTGTGAGCTGTTGTAAAGGTCACATTATGCCAGGGGATCAATGATAAACGTGAGATGATAAAATACAGACAAGAACACGCGACGTGAAGTGCCCTAACAGTGTGTTATGTTATGAGTGGAGTGAAGCGTCTGCTATTGGAAGAAGCAAAATGCATTCAATTTCTTTTAAAAAAAGTTAATTGCAGATTTTTACACCGTGTGTGTGTGTGTGTGTGTGTGTGTGTGTGTGTGTGTATGTGACATTTCACCCACAAAATATACAGTCAATTCACTTAACAGTGAAGCGCTTTGAGACGTCTGTGAAGCACTTTATCAAATGCAAGAATTATTATTATTATTTACTGGACGTTATCAAATGCAAGTTAGCATCAAAGGCAACTGGGGTTCTTTTACACTAGGGAAGTTAAGATAAAAAAGCTTACTTCTCAGTAGATTAAAGAGAGGAAAAGGTTCAGAAGCTGGAAGCGAGCAAGAGCCTTACCTCGACATCAATTATCTGGGACATAGAAGAAAATAAAAAAAGCAGGTTATACTGTATATTTAATCAGATACACACGCTATGGTAGAAAGGGTGAGACTTTTTTCTGGAGGGGTGGTGGGGGCTCAATGAACTGGAACGACTCCAGCTTGCAAATAAGTTATATAAACTGGAACCTGACACAAATTGCAGATGACAAGGTGACTGTTTAGTGATGGGCTGTTGGTATAATAGTGTTAGAAGCGTCCCGGGGCGCTGTGAAGCTCTGCACAATGTGTTAAAATCCATTTTTTCAGAACTTTAGTGGCAATTTTGAGGCCGGTTCAATAAATACAAATGATTGTAATTATTCGGGTGGTTCCAATGATTAAGTCTAAACAACGTGTGTGTGTGTGTGTGTGTGGCGGTGGTGGTGGTGGGGGGAGGGGGGGGGGGGGATTCGATTCTCAAATTAATACGCTTTCGTGTTTCTTAATAGCACAACAAGCCAGGTCTCTCGCTATTATATTCATACACGACACGAAAACTGGGAAATAAATCGCATCAAAATGCTGTCTGTTACATCAGTCATTTAGATTGTATTATAATATTATTAATCTTTATAATATATAATACATATGTATATATTGAAATATTGACATAAATACTATGATATATATTAATAGATATTTATTAATACTGACATCTATTGATATTTAATGCAACATGTCAAAGCGCTTGCAGGGCTGTGCTGTGAAGTGTAGTGACTGTGTTATACTTCTGAGAAACCGGGAGCATCAAATGATTTCTTTTCTACATGGCGTTTTCAAAACGGCGCCTCATATCCAGAATTCTGTGGCTTAACCTATGGGTTTAACGATTGCAATGCAGACAGACAGACAGACAGATGGACGGACGGACAGACAGACAGTCTGATCTGAAATCTCAACCATTTGTGCAGTCTGTTCGCTTTGTTTACACTTCTCTTTGTGATGTTAAGTTTCAGTCAAAGAGGAGCCGGAACCCGAAATCCGAATGGTGAACGGCAAACCGAAAAAGATCCGCAAACCCAGGACTATTTACTCCAGCTTTCAACTGGCAGCCCTTCAGAAACGTTTCCAAAAGGCGCAATATCTGGCCTTACCGGAGAGAGCAGAGCTGGCTGCCTCCTTAGGACTGACACAAACACAGGTACACAACACCCTCTCCCAGTACCACCTCTTCCTGCACACCGTGGCCTCCTCATAAAATGACTCACCCACTGTCACTGGTTTATGACTGTACCGAGCATGTTGTATATTGACCTACAGTCTTGTAATGAGAGACACAGGCGGTTTTGTTTCCCATAGAGATATCTTCCTATATATATACACACACACACCAACAACCTGTACCCCCAAGTATAACCATCATAACACAATAATTTTATACCATATTTATTTTAATCTCTGGACCGTTCAAATATTTCTCCATAGTAATAATAATAATTCTTGCATTTGATATAGATCTTATCACGTCTTCAAGACGTATCAAAGCGCTTCACAGATTATTCTGTAAAGTGAATGGACTGTATCTGTTTTGGGTGAAACGTACTCTTGAAACAGCGCTTGAATTTCCCTTTGCTCTGTCTCTACACTGCCTGACCCACACGTTGACATAGTCCTGTATTAAGGGTTTCAGTTGTCATGTTTGTTTGGTTCCAAGTTATCTTTAGTCACATTTCTAGACTAGACTAAAGGTTATAATGAAATTCTATGAGGTGCAATTGGTAGTCAGCAACAGCAGGCAACATGTAACTAGACTTCACTATGACAGCATTGGCTTAAACCAGCATTTACTAAACCTTGGCCAAAGGTGTGGTTGAGAAAGCTTTATATCTCTTAGGATTTCCTTGGAACAAATTTACATATTTGTGGATTTATTTAGAATGTATTCATGAGGCTTGTCACTGATGCAGTTATCTATGCAGGAGCTGATGTGGACAAATATAGATGTATGTAGCCAGATATAAATGCCTACCTTTGTCTAAAGTTTTTCAGTCTAAGCTATTTTGGAGAAAACAAATCCTATAATTCTAGTTATGCACGACAGACCTTTCATTTCTGCCATTGTTAACCAGACACTGTTGTTGTCTGTGTGTTTTTTTTGGAGGGGGATAAAAATAAAATAATTAAAACTCCTGAATCAAATGGAAACTATTTAAAACCAATAAAACCCTCCAGAAATCTGTTTTGTACGAGTATTTGAGCGTCTGCGGACTGGGTTGCTTGACAGATGGAAACAAGGGAAGAGGTTAGTAGTTAAATGGTAAAAACAAAACGTTTAACTATTAACCGAAGATAAAACAGTGAGTTTGGGGATTAAAGGAGGAACGTCAAACAATGAGCCATTTGTACCAAAGCTTTCTTGAGAGGTATGTTTTTAGGGTAAATAATATTAATAATAAAATCCCCTCCCCCCAAAAATCCATGTTGTCTATCGTGTTGTGTTGCTGACTCGGTTTGCCCTGGGCAAGCGTTGTTGGGTTTATTTTGTAACCAACCAGCGATTTTTCTTGACTTGTCTTCTGCCAGGTGAAAATCTGGTTTCAGAACAGAAGATCCAAGTTCAAGAAGCTGTACAAGAACGGGGAACTCACAATGGAACACAGCCCCGATAACAGCGACTCCATGGCTTGCAATTCCCCGGCTTCTCCCACCGTTTGGGAGAACCACAATACAGTCAGGAACACCCTCCAACAGCCATCACATAACTCCTCTCCAACTTACCTTGAAGACTACAGTCACTGGTATCCACCAACTCCCTCAGGCTCGCATCTACAAAGCACAAACTCGCTTCACCAGCCGCCTCCCCAGAGCGCTGGCTCAGTCTATTAACTGTATTAACTTTGGGTGGGGGAATTTTGTAAACACACAACAAACTTTTGTGGGTGGGGTGGGGAACAAAAACACAACTTTCGCCCCCCTCACCTTTACCAAGAACCCTCAACTCTCGGGGACCATTGAGACTAACTTCGAGAATTAAGTGTGAAACTGTCGCACACAACACTATGTTGTATATAATATCCGAAGGACAAGTACAAGGCGGACGTTAATCAGGGCATTTTATTCTCTCTCTCTCTATTTATCTCTTTCTTTCTCCTAAAAAGTGTAATAGTTGTGAACTTCAAACACTGTCTCTTCACCGTTATTGCTGTTATTTCCCAATTCAACTCAGACCCAAATCTGAACCGCTTTTGTCCGCTGTCTCTTATATTTTCATTATTTAAGTCTCNTTTTTTGGATCGACGAACTGGTTTAAATTATTGCTTGTATGTAAAATGTTTTTTTGTAATAAAAATAATAATAATAACGAGGGGAAAAAACAATAAGACGTTGTTTCGTTTCCATGTAACTGACACTCATTGAAAACCCTTCTCAAACGGTAAGGAAATAATTAATCATTTAGCTGGTAGTTTGCAACTACACTATAGAAGCTTAATTTACAGTGAATTGGAAGCTCACAAGTTAATACAACTGTATTTATATCCCATCCCAGACAGTACGAAACGATTAAAAGATGTACATAAGATTTCATGCATAAAACTGTAAAATAACAATTAAGAGGAAACAAACCCCCTTGAGCAGTTGTGAAGTTATATTTCGCCCATCTTCCTCACCGAAATGTAAAGTTACTCGCATTTTACCACCTGCACCTGACTGCCTTGTAGCTGTTGTTTGTTTTGTATTTAATCTTTTTAAAAAAATAAATGCCCCTCTTTTATGATGTTCTTTCTTAATGCGAAAATGTTAATAAAAAAACAAATGCCACTATATATATTATTTTATTCTTAATTTATTCGTGGGAAACAAAATGCGAATTAAAGCCAAGCTGAAAGTCCGTCACGTGGGTCCAGGGCAGAGCATTCGAGCGTTAAATTGCGTTAAATTTCACATTTTTTCAACGAAACATTCGCATAGCAACTGAGGGTTGTGAAACTCGGAGTTTTCATAAAATAAACAAGTTAATCAAATTTGCAATCCAAAGCGCATTGTAGTTGAATTCTAAGTACACTATATATAAATAGAGTAAATACATATCTATTATATCTTAAGCAAACAAAATGAATGTGTGTGTTTAGGTGCTGCAGAAAAATACATGCTCAAGATTTATCAAAAGAGTTCTGCGTGTATATCGCTCCCATGTATTTGCTTTTGTGTAGTGACTGTGTATGTTGGAGCATCTCATATGCCCAGAGATGCACAGTCACTACACAAGAACAAATACATAGGAACGGCGTTGAGACGTTTGGCTATGACTTGATAGGCGAATCCAAGGGTACTAGTGCATGTTAATTCGCTATGATCCTATGGGTAACTATTAATACCTGGTGGATATCAGGTACATACTTTATTATCTGGCAGACAGAAAGCGAGAGAGGTCTCAATCATTGGGGTAGGCGTGGTGGGGGGGGGGGGGGAGGAGCTGTGTTCTGGTGAGAGAGAAATTATCTTTATTGAAAAAACAAAGCGGCGAGGCAATAGTTAAACGTACACCCCATCTCCTTCTATTAAAGGCAGTTTAGTTTGAAGGGCTGCGTGCAAAAGCTCTATAGGCGACAGGCAGGCAGACATTCTGGAGACACGGGTTGTGTAGAGCAGGATTTTATTAGGCACCGACTGCCAGAAAAACTGCTCCATCGCCTGGGGTTAATGTCGTGCTGAAGCTCACATACCAGCAAGTGCATCAAAGCTGTTGCTATTGCCAGGCTGACTGTAACCCGAGCCGCCTGTGTTTTTTTTTTAACTCCATCCTTCCCAAACCCCAATATTTCATTTGGAGAGGTCAGGAGTATTTTTTTTCTTTTAAATGTATCAAAACCCATGTTTTGGGAAACGTATGTGTTTGGGGAGGGATGTTTGGGGAGGGATGGGATAATACTAATATTAATAATAATCCTTACATTTGATATAACACCTTGTAACGTCATTGAGACGTCTCAAAGCGCTTCACAGAGTATATTGTACAGTGGAGTGACTGTGTATTTTGGGGGGCATTTTCTTTTCAGGGGATGAACAACTTCGATTTCTCGATAAATAAAGAAGCCACGTCGATATTTAACCCATTAACAATGTTGTTAAACGTTGACAAATCAACCCATTTGTTAAAGTTCGCCAGACAGGGACAGTCTGAAAAGAAGAAATCATACAAGCGATCATACAATCATTACAATATACATAAAATATATATAAAATTAAATCGTGCATTTAGTTCATAATCAGAAATGAATTTTCTGTATTAAAACATGATAAATATAAAACTTACATTTACGTATTGCGCCTTTCACAGGGGAAGCAGCAATTAACACACATTTTAGATGGTTTTCCAAGGCACCCTGTTAGTATTGTGTTTTAGCATCTAATAATAATAATTGTATTTGATACAGAGCCTCATCACATCATTGAGACGTCTCAAAACGCTTCACAGAATATACTGTAAAGTGGAGTGACTGTGTATTTTGCGGGCATCTATTCTGGATGGGACCTCTTTCATTGGAACTGAAATAAACATGAGCTTCACGTGGTAAATGATACATTTCCAATCAGTAATAAACCTTTGTGTGTGTGTGTGTGTGTATATGTGTGTGTATGGGGGGATGGGGGGGAGGTGTGGACTAGGTCCACACTAAAGTGAATGCGACAATTCACCATTAAACCACGGTGCAATTAATGGAATTATTACCCCGCAGTAATAATTTTCATACTTCCACAACCCCTAACAATTTGAAGAACAGTCGTTCAGTTGTCCATTTACCAGCATCGGCCTTATTTATATGTGCAAGTGATAATCATTCTTATATTAGATACAGCGCCTTTCATGTCGAGAGTGCATCAAAGCACTTCACGGGATTTATTTAAAAGTGTAGTGACCATGCTTCTGGTCGGTGAAGGAAGGGAGGAGAAACAGGGAGGCTTCCTAAATATGTCATTCTATGCAATAAAACGTGTTCGCCAGCTTCTGTGTCAAGCATCTTGTAGCACTTTAAATGTTACAGACAGAATCAAATCACCAGGCATCAATCACCCCAGTCAGTCAGTAACTGTGGATATCAGCTGCGTTAAATTAACTGGTATTTCTGTCAGCGGTGTCTCACGTTCACAATAGCCTGATGTAGCGCTATCCCCAAAAGAACTGCGCTGCTGTATTTTCGATGGCTGGTGTGTGCACTATTATTAGCATTAATGCATCTTACCTCTTCACAATAATATCTGATTGTACGCGCGTGTTGTGATTGCTTCAATGAATGGCTGATCGTATTCCTGTTCTGGGATGTGAGTTGGTGGTGAATAGATATTTTGCCAAGTTTAAAAGCCCTCGAGTAAATAGGTACAACGGTAGATAACAGTTGTATAGTTAAAAACAAAATGTCTCTTAGCATTTCAAAAGATTTGAAAACGTGTTATATCACAGACAAGGCACCAAAACTATGGATAGAAATTAGTCCTTGTTCAAGATTACTCATGAAGAAGGACAAAGTACAGTCAAGGGTGAAAATGCTTGACTGGAAAAGAGCTAATTTTGATGGGCTAAAGAGGGACCTAGAGTTGGTGGACTGACAAGTAAGAATGGCAGGTAAAACGACTCATGAGCAATGGGAAATCTTCAAAGATACGATAGCTCAGGGTCTAAATAGATATATTCCCACAAAAGGGAAATGTGGGAGAACCAAGCCTGCTTGGTTAATAGTTGGTTAATAATAATCCCTCCAAAAAACCAAAAACAATAATTAAATTGGTCATTTTCAATCTACGACTGTTTGTGGGACATTGCTGTGCGCAATTGGCTGCCGCGTTCGCCCACAAATATACAGTCAATTCACTTTACAGTGTGTTCTGTGAAGCGCTTTGGGACGTCCTCCTGACGTGAAAAGCGCTATATCAAATGCAAGGATTATTATTATTATTATTATTATTGGATGACCAGGGATATTCTGTCTAGGATGAAAAAGAAGATGGCGTACGACAATTGGCGGATGCAAGACACCGAGGATAGCAAAGCGCATTATAGAGAATGCAGGAGTGATCTTAAAAGAACGATAAGACAGGCTAAAAGATTGCATGAGAAGAGGTTAGCGGGTAACATAGAGGGGAATCCTAAAATATTTTATAAGCACATAAAGGAAAAAAGGTTGGTTAAAGGTAGGGTGGAGCCAATCAAAGACAATGACGGCCATCTTGTTGTGGAGGCAGAGGGATGGCTGATGTACTGAACAAGTACTTTTTATCTGTCTTCACAACAGAAACGGATGCCCCAAATGCCACAGTATTGGATGACAGGGTAGAGGACATAGATCAGATTACTATAGACAGAGAGGAAGTTCTGAAAAGATTGACTGGGCTCAAAATTGATAAGTCACCAGGACCAGATGGGTTTCACCCAAGGTTGCTGTGGGAGATACGGGTTCAAATAGCGGAGGCTTTGGCCATTATATTTCAATCATCATTGGACACAGGAGTGGTGCCAAGAGACTGGAGAGTGGCTAATGTTACCCCCCTCTACAAAAAGGGACAGAAAGACAAGCCCGGAAATTACAGGCCAGTCGGCCTAACTTCGGTAATAGGAAAGCTACTGGAGACCGTAATCCGGGACAAAATAAATCTCTACTTACGAGATAATTAGAGACAGCCAACATGGATTTGTTAAAGGCAAATCTTGCCTAACAAATCTAATAGAATTTTTTGAAGAGGTGACTGCGAGGGTTGATGAGGGAAATGCGGTGGACATTATTTACATGGATTTTAAAAAGGCTTTTGACACAGTACCTAATAAGAGGTTAACAAAAAAACTGGAGGCCCACGGTATTAAGGGGACAGTAGGCATTTGGATTAGGAACTGGCTGAGTGACAGAATGCAGAGGGTGGTGGTTAATGGGTGTTTCTCACAATGGAAGGAGGTGTGCAGCGGTGTCCCCCAGGGATCGGTATTGGGACCACTGCTCTTTCTAATATATATTAATGATCTAGACTTGGGTATAGGGAGCACTATTTCCAAGTTTGCAGATGATATGAAGTTAGGTAGGATAGTAAATAGTGAAGAAGATTGTGACGGACTGCAGGCAGACATACACAGAATGGTGGAATGGGCTAACATGTGGCAGATGGATTTCAATGTAGATAAGTGTGAGGTGATACACTTAGGTAGGAAAAATGATAGGAGGCAATATAGGCTTGGTAGCTCAATCTTAAGGGGGTGAACGTACAGAGAGATCTGGGCGTTCAAGTAAGCGATTCATTGAAGGTGGCAGAGCAGGTAGATAGGGCAATAAAAAGGGCATTTGGTGTACTGAGCTTCATTAGTAGGGGCATAGAGTATAAGAGTAGGGAGCTTATGCTTAATCTGTACAAAACACTGGTTAGGCCTCAGCTGGAGTACTGCGTCCAGTTCTGGGCACCTTACCTCAGGAAGGATATTAAGGCACTGGAAAGGGTGCAGAGGAGATTCACGAGAATGATACCAGGAATGGGGAAGCTTAGCTATGAGGACAGGCTGGAGAAGTTAGGACTTTTCCCATTAGAGCAAAGAAGGTTACGCGGGGACCTGATAGAGGTCTTCAAGATCATGAAAGGTTTCGACAGGCTAGATAGGGAAAAGCTGTTTCCACTGGTAGGTGTGTCTGCGACTCGTGGTCACAGTTTTAAGATATCTACCAAAAGAAGCAGAGGGGAGGTTAGAAGAAATTTTTTCACTCAGTGAATTGTTAGAATTTGGAATGATCTGCCCGAAAGGGCAGTGAAGTCCGATTCGATAACAGCTTTTAAGAGAGAA